TCTTTTTTTATTTTCCCTATTTATTCTTGGAATTTTTTTGTTTTTTAATAATGGGGATATTCGAAATTAGAATAAACTTTGATAAAATCTGTTAGTGTTTAATGGTTTAATTGGATTCATTTGTTTTTTTATAGAACACATCAAAGAAAATATATAGCCACAAAACATACTTAAGTATAGATCGGAACAACATTGATACCATTTTTTTAAATTTATTTTTTATTTATGATATTTACAACTGTATTAATAAGTAATATACATTTAGTACATTTGATAACAGAAAATAATAACATGAAATCACTTGTTGAGAAACTACTCTCTGGTAGCACTCGAAAAAAAATGTATTTACAATAGGAGATCTCGAAGCCATCTTCTTTTCAGATGCCTCGGAGGGTTATTAGGGATAGAAGAGAAAGCAAGGTTAGAGACAAGAGGATTCGGATGGTTCTGAAGTTTATTATGGAAGGATTGGTATCTGGATTGGTCCAAATCGGAAATATAAGGAACATAAAGGTCGTTATGGATTATTTTATTGGTGACAAAGTAAGGAGTATTGAGGATTTTCCGAAGGATTTTGGATTGTAAGGATTGGATACGAAAGGAATTCGATGACTTAGTGGAGCCATAAACCTCAAATCCGTAAGTCCAAATACGTCTTATTGTTTTCATGTATATGAGTCTTTTGTAATTAATTGTAAGCTTAGAGCGTTTGTCTAGTAAGTGTTGGAGTAGTCGAGCGGTTTCTTGTCGCTTCAGTCTGGTACGAGGATTCCAAGTTAGACGTCTGTCCAAGTGGAGTCCTAGGTATCGGATTTGCTCAACAGGGATAAGTGGAGTATTGTTAAAGGAAACTGTAAGACATTGATACCTAAAATAATATCACGGAGCAATTCTTTGACAAGATCGGCAGATGATATTCAAATAACTTTTATCGAATATATCACTAAACGATCGAAATATTATAGGTTCTGGTAGAAAACACAAACCTACTTTTTCCAAAATGTTGTGTATTACATTTTCAAAAATTTTTAAAGATAGTTTTTAAGGTATGTATCGCAATGGTTGAATTTCTTTGCACACAGTTTTCAAGTATTAACTTAGTTTTATATATTAATTATTATTCTTATTTATTCTATTACAGTTTTAATGGTATTTTTCATACTATTTTCTTGAAAACAGTATATTTTTTAAAATATTTAATGCCTTAATAATTTTATTTTAAGAAATATATAAGATATACTTTAAATGAATTATACTTCGATTGTTTCCTTTGAATGGCGACTAGAAATTAGTTGTTACCGCATTTTTTGAGTTGAGTATTATTTTCTGTTGAAAGGTCTCAAAACACTCATTTGAAGGAACATTATATAATTGCAAATACCACTAAATTTTTGTTGAAGATTATTATTTCAATTCCGAAGTTTTAAAGATCTGCTTTTATTTTTAATGACTTCATCCCTTGCATCAGCGTTCCTCTCATTATTTTAATATTTCAGTTCTAGGGATATTGCAATATGTTCCCAGTTGTTTTGCTGAAACAGTAGTGCAACATAGGAAATCTCAGACTATATAGATGAGGAACTTTAGGAACAGAAATAGGCTAGCTGTACTAATTAACCTTTACTATTTAGTTCTCATACCCTGCTTTTGTCCAAATATCTAGGAAAGTTTAATTAATAGAGACTTATCTCTATTAAAATTTACACCGGAATAAATTAATGTTGTTAATAATTTAATAGGTACCTCATTCGTTAATCTAGTTATTCGATTTGATTCCATATCTCTTAAACTGTGAACATGTTGTTCTTAATGCTAGTAAGGCTTCATTTAGCAATTCTAGTCAGTATCTAATAAGCCACTTAAGTGCTAAATCGTCAACGAATGCAGTTACAGTTAAATTTTAACACTTAAAGCACCATTTTTCCGATATATAATAAAAAAAAAAGTGACAAAACTTTCTAGGAGATATCTTCTGTTCAGAAACAATAATTTTAAAAGCACTGCTTAGCAAAATTCTTTGGATGTATAAACTATTTGATCTTTCTTCATCAATTATTTTTTCTTACCTCTTGCCGAAAGGTATATTTCCGGTTATGTGGTATATGCCAATATGATGTGGTATGATTTTATAGACCGATGTGGAACAAGTGAGAAAAATAATTAATTAAGAAAGTCCATAACTATGTACCTTTGAATCAAATGCCCTACATGCCAAAAAATAATGAAATGTATGTAGAAGGGATGAATTTTAGAGACATTTCAATAAAGAATCGCTATATAAAATCAAATTATTAAATATAGTAAAAATCATCCAAAATCCTTTGGAATACTCCTTACTTTGTCACCAATAAAATAATCCATAACGACCTTAATATACTATATTGCTATGTTCCTGGCCTCGCGTTTCTACGGCGAGTAAGTGGTTCCAGGAATCGCATTTATTCGTATTAAAATGTATTTAATACTTATATTTGTATTGAAATGTTAGATACCACAGACCCCCTACTGTGGTATCCTAGATTGAACCATATAATTTGTATCGGATTTCCTTTCTAAAGGTATCATGTTTATAAATTTACTATTTGTTTCTATTACTATTTGGTGGCATGCAAGGTAGAATGTAAAAGTACTACGTTGGTTTACTAACTATTATATTTACAAGCTTAAATAAAACCAAAAACATCTATATACAAAATAATAACTAAACCTATATACACAATTATAGTTGAGAATCATACTAGAGGAGAATGCTTGATGTATTGATTTTATTAATTAATGATGTATGGTTGCCAACACAAATTTACATTAGTATAACTAAATGCTTGTTACCACTTAGCTGGTCCTTCATAGTGTTTCTTGGTGTTTCTAGCCGTCATATCTGGATTCCCTGTCTCTGCTCTCCTTCAGCGTCTAGTCCGCTGAGTCCCAAGAGGAAGCGTCCTCAGCCGAGTCCCCAGAAGAAGTCTCCTCCTCTCCGAGTCCCAAGAAGAAGTCCTCTCCTCTCCGAGTCCCAAGAAGAAGTGTCCCGTCTCAATTCTCTATTTCCCACCTTTTTTCATCCCCCTCTCTTTTGGTAGTCTTTTTCCTGATTGGCTGAATATTCTCAGCCTAAGGGATGACCACGCCCTCTCCCCCAGGCCAAGGTAAAGCAGCAGGTACAGATTTCCATATTTCTGGTGGAAGGTGTGAAAAGGTCTTTCGGGGTCCTTTTTAAACACTTTGTTGTCGGTCTTTGTCGGTGCTCCTTAAATGTTTTTATTACCACTTACAAAAGGTTGGGCTTGTTGACCTCAGTCAGGTACCGCCAGATGTGCACACTTATGATGTTTATTTATACATTTAAAATAATTATTCCACCGGCGGTCTTTACAATACATAGCAATATGTTTCCGATTTAGCTCAGTCCAGATACCTATACTTCCATATTAAACTTCTGGACCATCCGAACCATCTTGTTTCCAACTTCCTTTTCTATTCCTGATAACCCCCCGAGGCCTCGGAAAAGAAGATGGCTTCGGGACCTTCTAATAGAGGAATATAATAGGAGAGATATCAATGGGTAGTTTCTCTTCATGATGTACATGTCATGTTACTTGTTGTATTTATCATTTAATACATTTGTAAATTTCAATAATAATAAAAAAATAGTAAACAAAAACAGTAAAAGAGATATTAGAATTTTGGAATTATCGTCCTTTCTTTAAACCGTAAAAATATTAAAATAATTCATCAATTAAGGTAATGTAGTTTAATAAACATTAGCAATGTTTTCAATGATAAATTTTATAAATACACAAAATTAAAAACAATTTATATTTGACTTTAAACATCAAATTTTAAGTCTAGAGATACAGTATCATGTTACCAACTGTATTATGTTACATAAAAAAAAAAAAAGAAGCAAACAATTGAAAATTGCACAAAAATTAAACTACGGTGTTTGATAGATATAGTAACTTATACAATATAACCATTTAAAATGTTAATTAAAATATAAATATAAATATAGGTCTATTTATATATGATAATAAGCCGAAAATCCAACCCCTCAATAATAGGGTCTGCTTAGAAGGGTAATAGTAGAGAAGAAAAAATTCAAATACCTCGGCTCCACAATAGCTTCAATGAATGACCATCGGCCGGATATTGACCAGCGTATAACAAGCGCAAACAGAGCTGGTTCCTCTCTTTCAAAGGTATTGAAATTCTGAAAAATCTTAAATTAAGAGTGTACAATGCTATAATAAAGCCAGTTCTAATATATGGATGGCTGTGAGACCTGTACACTAACCAGCTAAAAAAGTGTTGATGAATTTGAAATGAAATTCCGAAATTTGAATTGATAACCCGAGCGATCTGGGATTGGAGTACTAACACATGTAGAAGAAAGATCAATAAAAGGCTACTTACAGAAACTGGTAAATCAATATCCTCATGATATGAAGAAACGGAGATTAAGATGGGCTTGAACTGACGACAAAGAATGCCTCATTAGTAGAACAACTACCTCCTGGAAGGCCAAAAACCAAATGGATAGATTGAATGAACAAAGATGCAATAGAGCTGCATGTAGATAAATGGAAAGAAATTGCCCAAGATAGGAAGATATGTGATAGGCCTGTTAAAGGGGCAAAAGTATAGTGTCTAATTGGAAAATTTGTACATATATATATATATATATATATATATATATATATATATATATATATATATTATTTAAGCTTAGTTAATGAATAGGAATTATCTAATCCTGGCATTCGAAAAATTTAGAAATGATTTATAAAAAACTTTTATTTAACATATTTTTAAAGTAACCATAACATAATGAAGAAAAAATATCAAGGGGGTATAAATTGAAAAGCTTTTTATTGATGTATTAATTATTTCGACAAATATTTTCTTTTGTTAAATAATAATATTTGAGACTATACTCTTTTAAAGAATCAAATTGCAACAAAGGAAATATATCGTTGGAATATAAGGTTTTCCATCCGTGGTATATGCTCCTTCAGAATCAGCATAATGCAGAGCTGATGTTTCGGAAGAGCCATAAAGGGGGTGCGACCATCCCACAAGACTCGTATCCCTTCCACAATTCCCATCCATCGACAGCTATAGCCGATCCCGACAGACGAATGGTTTTGCAAAGCCCTATCATATGGGTTCCAGGTGTCTTGGAGGGGACAGCTGATCTAAGATACGTGTCCCTCTTACATAGTGAATTCCAAACACGGAAATTCAACGACTAGTACATGTAGATGCCTGGAAAGAGGCATATAGATATTAAGAAAAATCAGTTCAATATTTTATATATTTTTCAATTTTTCTGAGTATAGTACATATTACCAATCAGAAGTTGCATTATAGCCAATTATAGAATTCTTTGCAGCATAATTATAAACAATTAGGAAATTCCATACAGTAGAGCGTTATTCCTCTTTATAAATCATCAAATCAAAAACTGTAATCAAGCTATGTACACATACCAACTGTAACCCAAAACCGTGAGTATCATTCTGGACAGAATTTGATCTAACTAAAGGCTTTTAAGCATGAATATAAAATAGTTATGAAAAAAAAAAGGATAAAATGGTAATTGCAAATTCTCAATGAACCAAGAGGTTAAATTCTCTTATAGAATTGTAATTACAACATTTTATTCAAAAGTGATTAGTTTCAGGCAAAGAATCCTAAAAAGAAATGTGGAATGATACTTTGTGGCATTTCTGGGAATGGAGCTAGAATTTCTGAAGACAAACCTGATGATAATGAAAAAAGAATTGAATAGACAATTTTTGTTTGTGGCACCTAAAATAAATTTTGCCTTGAACTATGTAATAAAATTTCAAAGTATTTTATTGTCGATTTAAATCAGATTAGTACCATGACCACCTAGTTATAAATAAATAAATAAAATATATTAGAATAAATAACTATTTCATCACTTCCACATCAGCAAAAGTAGTTTATATGTTGTACGTAATACAACCCAAAAAATATATTATTAGAAGCCAATTTGCGAGATTTTTCAGTTCAAACAATTTCTATTCCAAAAATTAATGTGATATATAAGTTAAATAAAAACTTTCTTCCCATCACTGAAAGTATTTCGACATTATAACTTGTTATAATTCACAAGCTATAAATTAAAATAAGCTTATGATTTAAGAAAAATGAAAATAGAAGGACCAATGAATTTCATTATATATTCCCCTTTAGACTTACGAAGGGGCACAGTGAACAATCTTAACCCTAAGGCCTGGTTGGCTATTGTACTCAACAACAATGGAGGCACGTCGATTTAAATGTTGTTCTCTGTTCTAACTAATAATTTCATTGTTACTGGAATCTGATTAAATGAATAAATTACTACAGTTAGTAATGAAAGTTAATTGGAGAACCTTGTAATTCATTTTCCAATTATCTATTTAATCTCCAGTTCTATGTTGAATGAATAATGTTGTACTAAAAGCGGACGGAATAGATCAGAAGCAAGGTATAATAATTTATAACATCAAATTATTTTAAAATAGATTAAAAAAAATAGACATTTTTCTTTAGTCATTCACCTTTTCTAGATTATCCTAACGAGGGACGATTTCATCAAAAGCGTACAGAAAGGCTTCTTTATCCAATTTTATAACTAGTATCGCTTTGAAAAAGTGAATCAAATTCCTCTTACGAGTATTAAAGAGAACGGATTTTATTTTAAAAAATTCGTCTCCCCCCTTTTTTACTAATAATCTTTTCCTATAAATCAATAAACTGTATAAAATTGTTGTTATCTTTATGATGTCCTTTAATGTCCGCGCGATGATTCAAACGCTTTATTTTTTATTTCTAAAATGGCGTGATCGATATTTTCTTAGCTGATTTTTTAATTCATATGTAGTTTAGACCTTAATGTTCCACATGTTTCCGATTTGTCACAACCCAGATACCCATCCTTCCATAATAAACTTCATGACCAACCGAATCCTCTTGTTTCTAACCTTGCTTCCTCTTCGATTCCTGATAACGCTCCAAGGCGTCTGAAAAGAAGATGGCCTCGTGATCTCCTATTGTAAATATATATTTGTTTGACTGAAGCGACAAGTAACCGCTCGACTACTCCAACACTTACTAGACAAACGCTCTAAGCTTACAATTAATTACAAAAGACTTATATACATGACGACAATAAGACCTATTTGGACTTATGGATTTGAGCTTTATGGCTCCACTAAGTCATCGAATTCCTCTTGTATCCAATCCTTACAATCCAAAATCCTTCGGAAAATCCTTAATACACCTTACTTTGTCACCAATAAAATAATCCATAACGACCTTAATGTTCCTTATGTTTCCGATTTGGACCAATCGAGATACCAATCCTTCCATAATAATCTTCAGAACCATCCGAATCCTCTTGTCTCTGACCTTGCTTCCTCTTCTATCCCTAATAACCCTCAGAGGCGTCTGAAAAGAAGATGGTCTCGAGATCTCCTATTGTAAATACATTTTTTTTAGAGTGCTACCACTCTCTGTTGCAGTTGTAAATATCATAAATAATTTTTTTTTAAATTCTTCATGTAATAGAAATAATTTGTTTGTATACTGTGAAAGATTTAACTTTTAGTGAAAAGAAACACAAAACTTTTTAAAAAAATGTAAAATATGGAAGATAGAGTTGGTGGGCTGTACGTAGGTATGAATCCGTTTAAGAATAATTTTTATTTTATTTTTATCATTATTTATCTTATTATCAATGTTATACATTATTATTATTATATTCGTTAATTTTTATTAATAATTTGTCTTTTGCATTTACGTATGTACTGTATGAACGAACACATTCATCCCTAATACTTGTTGCCCTTTGATGCAGCAGATTGTATTATTATTGAACAAAAACTTGGATGTATAAAAAAAAAAAAATAGTTGGGTGGATATGATAATAGATAAATGTTACATGACCCCCCACAGTGGAACAATCACCCTTCCAGGTCGAGGCGCTACTATTTTAACACCACTTGACACAAGATTTCCCCTAAAAAAGAAAATTACTCTTAACTGGCAATCCATGTGAAACGAGAGGCCTCCGAGCAAATTGAAATACATAAAAAAACAAACAGTAAAATTGTGGTCCACTTCGAACCGCCCTATTCGTAGAGAGAAGGTTGCCTTGGCGAGACTGAGCATAGGATATACAAAACTGACACATGTTTACCTGATAAGTAAGCAACCACCACTAAAATACCAATACTGTTGTGTCCCTACTGCGTATCAATCTTAGCGAAATTAGGACTCATACCAAAACTATCAGATATTTTAAATAATGATGAAGTTAAAGTAAGGTCGGTGATAAATTTTCTTTAAGTCAATGATTTGTTAAACAAAATCTAATTTATTTATTCTTTATTTTTATTTTATTTATTTATTCATTTATTTTTTTAAAAATAATTTAGTATTGAAGTAATAGAAACAAAGAATAGATAGGCGTTGAACACTTAGCCCTAAACAACAACAACAAAAACCAACAGTGCAGCCCTACAATACTAGAATTAAATCAATTCAAACAAAAATCTAGCCGACAGTTTAAAGCCAATGCTTAATATATAAAATCCTTAAAATAGAATTAATAAAAATAAAATGATTATTTTCATCATGGATACTTTACTTGTTTTAATACCTATTTTCTTGAGTAGAGAGTTCATAAAATTGGGACGACGAATGATGAAGATTTAACAAACCTAATGTACGTAAAAGCGAATTGTAATTACCATTAGCAAATCTTGTCCTTTTTCTTTTGAGGGCATTTGCAGGCAGTGAATTTTAATTGCCTGCTTTTTCATGCAAACAAAGGACTAACGCTTTTCTGTTGTTTCATGAACAGGTCAAATAAAGAAGTCTTCCCACCCGCGATAAAATTATTCATATTTAGGATACAAAGGGCAAACAGCAAGGTTAATATGATGTCCTACGAAATTCCCAAAATGGTGGAATTTATTAAATTACCTTTAACTTAGAAAAAGCACAAGCCAAAATAGCTTCTGGTTACAAGAAATGTCTTTTTAATCCATTTAAATTAAGATATAAGGTATAAAGTATGGTGCCTTCCTAATGACCAATCATAGTAAAATAACCAACTTTTTTGTCACTATTATAAAAACTCTCACATGTAAATTTTGATACCTTATGTCGAACGTTTTATCTGAGAATTTCTCATCTCAAATTTACCTAATCTTTTATATATATATATATATATATATATATATATATATATATATATATATATATATATATATATATATATATATATATATATATATATATATTTCTAGCTCCTCTTGTCCCGAAACTTAAAAATTAGAATCTATAAAACAATTATCTTGCCTACAGTTCTTTATGGATGCGAAACTTGGCCGCTTGCATTAAGGGATGAGCAGCGTCTTAAGGTTTTTGAAAATAAAGTATTGCGTAGAATATCCGGACCGAAGAAGGATGAGTTAACCGGAGAGTTCAGACGGTTACACAACGCCGAATTGCGTGAGCTGTATCCGGGTAATATAATTGAGGTAATTTCATCGCGGCGAATCAAATGGGCTTGTAAAGTTGTTGGGCTTAGTAACGAGAGAATTCCTAAAAGGTTAATATGTGCGGTGCCGAATGGTAAGCGTCCGAGGGGTAGACCGAAGCGAAGGTGGGAAGATTGCATTAAAGCCGATCTGAAGGGACTGGGTTTGGACGGCGAACGGTGGAGGGAGGTGTGTAACAAGCGATTATTGGTGTCGGCATCGAACCTTCGGGTTCGCTAAGCCTTATTATTATTATTATTTATATTTCTAGCTATTCTTATTACATTTCTAGCTATATATATATATATATATATATATATATATATATATATATATATATATATATATATATATATATTAGGTAAATTTGAGATTAAAAATTCTTGTAATATATATATCGTATTGTAATGTTTTTGTAATTCGGCTTTTATCTATTATAACTTAAGATAACAACAAATGTGTTATGTCAAGAACGTTTAATGTAGACGCATATATATATATATATAAATTATTGAATTAATTGATTCTCGTAACTATAATTTGTAATTATTATAAATATAATTTGTATATGTTCTTTATTAGGTAAAGAAATAAATTAAGTTTTTCGTAAAAGTGATTTTAATTCTACCACCTATTTATATCATGATGGTTACAGGTAATGTTTGGTAATTAGAAAGCAAGATAAACACAAACCAGCTTTTGAGAA